TGGTTGGTGGTGGTGGGAGGGGCCGATGGCACAGACTGGTTGCCTCGCTTCTGTCAGTATGCCCCAGGGCAGCTGTGGCTACAGTAGTAGTTCATCACCACTGTGTTTAGAGTGAAAGAATAATGTGAAGTGTCTTTGAGTGTCCAAAAAAGCACTGTGTAAAACCGATGCATTATTATTATTATTATTATTACTGTGGAGCCCCCCCCCCTGACCCAGAAAGGGAAACAAAAATGAATACAAATGAAATGAAATCCTGACCCTGTTGTTACTACAGTATTTACAACTCAAACTCATGACTCTGTTCTTTTGCTCAAATTACATAAAAATCCTTGCGTCCTTTTCTTTGATCTGAAGGTACTCTGTCTCGTCTCCCTTTCTCGACAATATAAATACCTTTATATAAATATACACAAATAACACCAATTTTAGAGCAGTTCATATTGTCGACATTTCTCAGTTCTTTTGTGCGTTTGTCTTTGACTTTTGACCGACGCAGATAAATGTCTAATATGTTTAAATCTGTTTAAAACATCTGTTCTAAACTCTCTTTTCTACTGTAATTACTCCTTGCTCAAAATGTGTTCTAATGTTTCACCCTTTGACTTGTGCTATACTAATAAATGTACTTTTATCTTATGTCTCAGATCGAGGCTGAAGGTTCTGACACTCAGCGTGTTTTTAGCAGCTCCTAGCAAAGTTTTAGTTAGATTTTAGTTTGTGCTTATTTTTAAATGTCCCAATTGTCAATTTTTTCTATAATGTCTTTTGTGGTCGTGTATCACTGTATGTACTCAATAGTTGTGTGTTTTTATATTCTTGTACATGATGTGGCCTTGTATTGTGGCCGGCACAGTGTCTGAGAGGTTTGCATATTCTCCCCGTGTCTGCGTAGGTTTCCTCCGGGTGCTCCATGAGTTACCCCTACCATTAATAACATGTACAATAGGACTGTGACTCCTGTACTGGCCCCGCTCCCAACTCTGTGTGGAGAAAGAGAGAAATGCCCACAACTGTAAACCACTTTGACTCTGGTTTGGGAAAGGCGCTATATAAATAAATATTACTTACTTGTGTGGCATGGTGAATTTAATTTCAATTGTTTTGTTTTTTTCATTTTATTACCAGAACAGTCTCATTGAGGTAAAATAACCACTTTTTCCAGGACGGAGGTAAAATAAGCAAAAGAATCCATGTCTTTATCCAATCCCTTTTTGAACCATGTACTTAAGAAAAAGCAGGTGGGAATTTAAAAGTTTAAAAGAGATTATATCTAATCTGCACTAAAATGTCAACAACAACAAAACAGAACATAGAGAAGAAGCATATTTAGGCAGTTAAAAAAGTTGATTTGGTGTTTGATTTGTCCTTTAACTTCTTTCCAGTCTTTTTCAAGCTGGATTCTTGTGAATAAAACACATAAAATACTGAATATATAAAAACAAGCAAACACATAAATGAATACTTGTATGTTATCACGTATTCTTTGTTGTTCTAATTTGTTTTGTAATTGATTTTTTTTTGTTCTCGGCTCCAAATAAATCCTTCCTTCATTCTTCTGTCTGTTATATGATCATCTGTGTTGCGGAGGTTTCGAAAAATAATCCAAATGGCAAACACATTGTACATGATGTTATCTATTTGACCTATTTACACAATGTATTTGTTGAGCTACTTATTCCAAACGCCCTGATGTGTCAAAACAACTACAAAACATTGCAAAAAATACCAATTGCTGTTGTAATATATTTCCCATTGTTGTTAATCACGACTGTTTTGCTTTGAGCCCCTTTAAACCGCTGACGCTTGGATGCTGCAGTTCCGTGTCTCTCCAGCGGGTGTCGCCTGTGCCCCGCTCTTCCCCTTGGCTCTCGGGCCCCGCTCCCCCTCGCTCCTCTCTCGGCCTCTGTCTGTGACCAGCTCCGAGCGTGAGCCTCATCTGCATCACAACATCACAAAGGGCTCTCTCTGCTCCACACTTCTTTCCTTTTTTCTACAGATTTATCCTTTTTTACATATTTTCACCACAATCTCCTCCACTGCTGTTTCCGGATAGCACGCGGGAGAAAAGAAATTAAACAAACACACTCAGATCTACTCATTTTTGTGTTGTTTTCAGTGTTGTCTGGTGGATTGCGTGGACGCCGTTATCAAACACAACACCATGTGACGTCTAAATAGTGTCCCACATGGTTTTGTTGTTTGGCTTTGGTCAGTTCTCTCTCTGCGCGTTGTGGGCCTCCTTCTCCCCCACGCTCCCACACTGAAATAAGTAATAATGCAATAAAACTAGACAGTGATTTGCCAAAAAAACCTCGTCTCTGATCATTAAAGTGACTGGGCGTAAAACGTTTTTTTTTCCCTGCGTAAAATCGTGGCGTTAGCGGCTGTGAATTTAACTTTTCCGCTTTGGGAAGATGCTTTTACGAACCGTGAAGGTGGAAGAGGAATTTATATATAATGGACTGAAAAGTGAATTGGATTTGAAGTAGGCTGTTCCGTAGTGATGTGTGTTAAAAGTGAGAAGCACGCGCGCGCACGAGGCCTCGCACATCCTTTGGCACAGAGTGAAAAAGCGAAAGGAGCGAGGCCTGGCGTGACTTTGGCAAACTTTTGGGCCTGTTTGTGAGTGTATTTATATTTTGCATATTTAGTAGAAAATGTGTGTGTGTGTTTTTCTCTCAGTCTCAAGGCTGGAGATGGGGTTTTAGAAAGAATGGAGAAAAAAGCAGAAAGAAAAACGAAATCCGCCTGAGGACATGAGCGTCTCACTTCAAAGATCTGTCATCATTTGATTGCAGACGCGTAAAGAGTGATGCCCAGGGGTTAAAGAGGATAAAAGCACACATTTAAATAAAGACCCCTCTAATAATAATAATAATAATAACAACAATAATGATGATGATAATAATAATAATGCTTTTTACGTAACATTTGTCTGTTTTTACGCACGGCCTAAACAGTGTCTATAACAGCGTTTCCACTTTGCATTTTTTGATTAAATTAAAGGCATTTTTGGTATGTTTCCCCAGATAGGCCTGTGTGTGTGTGGCTATTGTTGTAATGTGTGTATACTATGTGCACGGTTGGAATTGCTGAAGTATAAAATAAGTGGTAGTAATAGTAGTAGTGGTATTGCAGTTTTAATCCTATAATCTTATTTACACTGCTCCTTTCACTGGCAGAGGAGGTGAGCAGATGCAGTAAAGTTGAGCAGAAGGTTCTATGCTCTCGTTTTAGTCCCGTAAGTATTTCATTCATATTTTCCAGACGTGTCCAGTGTGTCCACAGAGGTCACGCGGAGCAGGACCGGCCCAAACCGTGCGTAATGGACACACACGCGGCTGCAGCCTCCACAGACAACTCGCAGCTTGGCCAGACTTTGGACCCAATAAAAAGCACAACCACAAACCAGTTCTTGTATATATGTTTTATGTAAGTAATAAAATATTACTATAACATAAATAGAAATGTGACTTTGCAGTCTACATTTAGCAATCAACAAACAACCAATGTAGTAAACAAACAAATCCAAATTCACTGCAACAAAAACCATTAAGAGCCGAACAAAAAGCTCCAACACGTTTAAGAAATAAATATATATATAAATGGTCAGATTCATAAATGAAATCAATATTAAAATATCTTCTTGGAATTAGTAAGTGTACAAAACTGCCCGGAAAGAAACAAAACCAAAAAAACAATATCTCAGAACAATTACAAGTTTACATATTTGACATATTTACACTTCGGGAATAATCCTGGCGACATTTTCTCTAAAATCCAGTGTTTTTGAATCATTAGTATTCTTTTTCTTGTAAAAACAAAACCCTCGTGTGTGGAGAATAGCACTGCTGTGGGCGATGGGAGACTGCTCAGACAGAGATGGAGATGGCACAATGCGTGGAAGTCCATTTTTTTTTATGTTTTTTTTTTTAGATTTCTTTTCAGGCCAGACGAAAATAAATACATCTAAAAACACACACACAGAAAAAAAAAAGAATACAATACTCTTTATCTGTCACTTCCCAAAAATCCAGTGTTTCTGTTTTGTATCTGCAATATTTTACAACGTGCTCCAACGTGGGCCACTGTAGGTACCTGAGATCTACGCTTTCTGTGTTTGGGGTTAGGGTCAATTCTGATTCGTCCTAAAACACCGTAAACGTAACATTTACTCTGGTTTAAGCCTATTGTCCACTCACAAAGTCACCGACAAATATCAATTGCAATTAAATTAGAAAAGGAATAAGTGCTCCATGCAAATAATATAGTAAAAAAATGAACGAAAAAAAAGCAATAATAATAATAATAATAAATGTGTGTCTTGTTTAGCGTCACGTGTTTGTCTGTCCATTTTCTCGACGTGGGTGTGATTCTTAAGGCGTGCAGGCAGAACTTAGGCTCAGTCCTGTTGCAATATTTTTCTTATATGAACAATTTCTGCGAGTCTCTCAGAGCAAATTGAACAAACGGTCGAACTTAACTTGACAGACACACACTGCGATAATTCAGGAGAACGTAAAAGCAACACAATCGAAGAACACACGTACACACTAATATTAATCAGTTTGAGCCTGGAGAGAAAGAAGAAAGCACAATGTTCGTTCGTCTGCAGCAGAGTCCGGGGGTCGGGTCCACTGCGGGTCCGGGGTGAGCGCGGGCACGTCACACGCACGTCGCCTCCATATAGGAAAGAATTTGGTAAATAAAGATCTTTGTTTTCACTTATAGAACGCGCACGAAATCAGCAATAGCAAATATGTTCAATCTTTTTTCTCTCATTATTATTTATTGTTATTGTTTTTTTCTATAACATTTGCTCCTGTCATCTAGTGTCGGACAAGACTTACTCCAAATACTAAGGTGTTCAAAACCAAACTTCCTGGTGTCTCTTTTTGTGTCAGGAACAACAAAAGCCAAACTTAATTACTGTAAACTCCACAAGTCCCATTCTCTCTCCCCCTTTCTCTCCCCCCTCAGAGCGTTCATGGAAACAGTCACTGCACAGGGCTCTGTAGTGTGCGGTGTAGAGGAGGGGTCTCTGCCTGGGAATATACATCGTCCATACTCGGGTGCGGGACCCCCACTGGTGTCATTCTTTTCTCTTTTTGTCTTCTATTACAAAACCACACGCGCACTACCTCTTTTTCCAGCTGCAGAGTGCCGGCTAAAGTGCTGATTTCGTGCGCGGATGGCTTTGGGCATTTTAAGAAATGATTCTCCAGCGCTCCCTTCACACCAACTTCGATGGACGTCCTCTTCTTTCGTTTTCTGCCCTGCGCCGCGATCTTGTCCAAATTGGTGGGACTGCCTGTGTTCGAGTCCGTCTCCTCCAGCCACTTGTTTAGCAGCGGCTTAAGTTTGCACATGTTCTTGAAGCTGAGCTGCAGAGCCTCAAACCTGCAGATAGTGGTCTGAGAAAAGACGTTCCCGTAGAGGGTGCCCAACGCGAGGCCCACGTCCGCCTGCGTAAAGCCCAGTTTGATCCTGCGCTGCTTGAACTGCTTGGCGAACTGCTCCAAGTCGTCGGAGCTGGGGGCGTCCTCGTCCGAGTGGTCTTGGTGATGGCTGAACTGCTGCGGGGACTCCAGCTGGTTGTCGTGGCCGCCGGACGTGTCGTCGTGGAGCGAGTCGCGCATGCCGTGGCTGAGCGGGCTCATCATCGCGTTGAGGTTCGTGTACCCGGGCTGCGAGTACACCAAGGACTGGTGGCCGTTGGACGCGGGGGAGAGCGGGGACAGATGATGCGTGGTGCTGGGCGCCCATGAGCCGTGGTGCGCGCTCTGCTGCTGGTGCACCAGGTGGGACCTGTGATGGAAGCTCGTGGTCAGGTCCTCGCGGCTCTGGACGCTGCTCTTGTGCTCCTGCTGGATGTGGCTGCTGCTCGACCAGTCGGTGTTGGACGTGGGCAGCCACTGGTGGTGCGTCAAACTCATCGGATGTCCCGTGTTCGTGGCTGCAAGCCCCTGCAAATACTCGTGGTGCATCATTTTCTGCACCTCTCTGTAAGTCGTCCCTTGGTGCATCCTGTCCGAGTCCGGATGCATGAGCGGGTTAGACGGCAAGGAGTTATTCCGCGGGATGTACTGAGCTGTTGTCGCCATGGCTCCTACTTGTGAAACTGACGCGCACTTCGGAGGTCTCCAGGCTTTAGAGCCCGAACGCAACAACCTGCACTGGGAGGTCTCGGTGTAGCGCGAAGACACGCCTCCCCTCCGCTTGCATTGGCTCCTCTCCCACTCGAGCCCATGGGGGAGGCAGGAGGAGGGAGGCAGGAGGGAGGAGGAGGACGAGGGGGGAGGAGGAGGGAGGCAGCAGCACGCGCGCACACTGCTCAGCTCAAAGACAGATAGAGTTCCGAGCTTACATGTGTTACAGAAGAAAACATATGTTTGTGTTGCTTTTTAAGTCCTCCGCGTCGTAGCGTGGCCAATTAAATCTGCCTCCTATACGTGCACGCGGTGAGGGTATGGAGACTATGGCACAGCATCCTTCTGTGTCTGAAACCAGTGCGTATCCACATCTCTCAGTTTCACTATCATTTTAGAAGTCACTAAATGTGGACTTCAAAGTGGATTAAGAAGTGTCACCGACAAACTCAAAGTCCCAGGTCTGTGCTCAACACTTAATCAAAACTCAACTCTTCCAGACTTTAGCAGCTTCTCTGTGACTGTATCTCTCTCTGACAACACAACATCGCGGCTCCTTATTGGCCCAAAGCCAAACGCGTATAATTACAAACATACTTTACTCTTACGCATATCATTAGTTAGACGTGACTGCAGAGGTTCCAGTGAGCCCGGAGAGTCTGGAGCAGGGCTGTGCTCGGACCCGTTGTTTTGCCCATAACCACGTGGGGGAGTCGGGGATGTGTTTGGAGGGTGCTCTTGATACACACACACACTTTATAATAAACGCATTCATTATAAAAGGTCATTGATGATGATTGAAATGTATATGTGCGTAAAGAAAAATAAGTCATTTGTTTCTCTGAGGTGTTTTATTGAATATGTTGAAGCTTATGTCACAAACAGGGACTGCACTCAGCAGAATGAAATATTAGTGAGTGAATATATTAAATATTCTTAATGACAAATAACACAAGTCCAAACACACAGGTTTATGTTTTGTTTTTTCAGCTCGAATTACAATATTTGACAGTAAACTTATGTCAGTGTTTTTATGTGTTTTATTTAAACAATGAATGATCCAATGTTTCTGTATTAGACACTACTTCATGTTCTGCATATTTCACTTTCAGAATCGCTCAGAGCGTTTCAAGGCTGCAGCGCGACACCTCTCCATCAGGGCAGAGAAAAACTCCCCTAATTCCGAGGTAAAAATGTGAAACCTTGGGGGTAGAAGCTGGACTCGTCCCAGTCCTGGCCCAGAGAGACAGACCTGTGCTCTTCTCTTCCTTCCTCTCCACCTCTCCCGGTTGATCTGATTATTTTTCCCTTCACGTTTTGTCCCAATAGCAAATTACCAATTCTATGAATTGCAAAGCAGCCTCAGAGACGCTGAGGGGTAGAGAGAGAGAAGAGGGGGGTGCGAAGATTGAAAGGGATCTTTGCAAACACAATCACGTTCTTAAATGGAAATGCGGGGCTTTAAACAAATCTTACATCTCTCCCGTTCCATTCGCCTAAAACTCTGCAATCAGGCGCATGTTCCGCGCGGTTCTAAAACAGTGGCTTTTGGGGAAGCGCGTTACACACACTGCCATTTTAATCATTCACCTGAAAGCGACGCGGCGGCTTTTTATCTCCTCTGTTTGTTTGTTTGTTGTCATCTCTTCTCCGTCCGCGACTGTCCTTCTCCGCACGGGACTCTGCTGCGGGTTTCTTCAAGCGCGTCATCAACTCCAAGGTAAAGTTGCCTCTTTACCGCTGTTGACGACCAGGCGCGTGTGAGTGCGCGCGCGAGTGCGTGCGTGTGCGTGCGTGTGTGTGTGGATAATGTTTCAGGGGTCACAGGTGCTCGTCATCATCTCTTGAAAGGCGTGGTTTTTGTCCAACCTTCCTCTATGTGTTTATTTATGGCTCCATAGACTCTCCTTCCTCCAGAGTCATAGAGTCCGGCAGTCACGGGGGAACCGCGGCCAGAACTGTTGGGATTCTAACGTCAGTCCTGCTTTGGTCTGACTGTGTTGTTGTACCGCGTGTGCACTCTCTATGACAGGAGTGTGGAGCTGAAATTAAAAGTGTGTGAGTTTAGAAGTGGGAAAAACATAGGGAGCAGCGTGAGTGGCTTTCACATGAGTCTGCAGAGAACCGTGTGTGTGTGTGTGTCTGTGTGTGTCACTTAACACACGGCCCAAGAAACGCGCGCGTCAGGGTCTATAAAAAGCACGCACACAGAGTCGGGCTTGTGCTGCGTGAGGAGCCGGCCACAACAGCCCCGCTCCCCGATGCTTTGGCCCTTTTGTGCGGACCGTGGCCTTGTGAGAGTCGAGATGCATTTTTGCCAAGACGCACGACGTTTCCATGGTGCGTCCAATGAAAGAGCTCACACACACACACACACATGCACACACACATGCACGCACACTTAAACACGCGCACGCGGGTTCAGCGGTGACTGACGGGAAGCTGCTGGAAATGAGCAAGATATGATGGCTTTAGATGTGAATGGAAAAGAGAGGAGAAAAAGTGACACTGGACAGAAGATTCAGAAATGAGAGTGGAGGAAGTTCACTGACCCCTTTTCCAAAAATAAATGCACAACTGTCATCTTGATGCTCCCAAACTTTCCTCATACCCGGGCCTTCTCCTTTTCAAACTCACGTCCCAGCTTTAAATATGTATAAAAAACCTCAAATCCACAACGTTTATGATCCTAATAGGTCCCTGTCTTTTGGCACAGCCTGAGTGAGGCTCTTTAGGTCAAATCTAACATGTACATTTCGCCATTGTGAGGTTAATACAGTTTTATCTGATCGTATCCAATATTTTCCAACTAAAAAAAGCCATTCATCTAAGATCATGTAGAAAAAAAAGAAGAAAAAAAGGCCCTCGTTATATTAGGTAAAAGTCTCTCTCGTAAATGCCTTTCTTGCATTTCCAATGAGCCCAAGTGAACCAGCAGGACCTCATCCACCCTGCAATTACCTCTGCCTCTGCCTCATGCCTTTGCCTCAGACTCATGGCGGGAGGAGACGCGTACATACGGGAAGGCCCATCACAATTCCTGGTGAAAATTACGCACGAGAAAACAGCTTTCCAATGCATACAAAACGATCATAAACAGAAGCAGTTTACATTTGAGACGAGTGTATTTACGCACTCCACTCCCAGCGCCATTTCCACGCAGCACTTTAGAGGCGAAAACATCTCATTTAGGCATAAAAAGTTTGATTTTAAAAGTGAGTGGAATTTTCTACCTGACTTCCTAAAATGGCAGAGGCGCACGCGAAATGTTAAATAGCCACACGTTCAGCAGGATTCCTCTGGGAACGTTTGGCCAGCCGTGTTTAGATTTTAAAATTCATGTAATAAGCACGCACGGAGCAGAATAATATCCACCAACTCACTCAACTCAATCAGATAATTGTTCTTGCGCAGGTTTTTCTTTGCGTTTTATTTTGACAGACATCCGTAATAGGCACTAAATATGCAATCGTAAAACTGTGTCCATTTTGAAGCGCGATCGTCCCATGCTTTTCAGGTAACTTTTTCTTTGCTTTTTTTGGCTAATGAACTTAGGCTATTCTGCCAGCATCCCCCTGAGAGCGCGGCGAGGGGGAGCGCTCCTCTTGTGGTAAAAGGTGCGCGCTTCTTCCTCTATCTCTGGGCTAATTAGGCGGGGTCTGAACGCGCAAGGATGAATATTCATGAAAGGCACCAGCGCGCAATTAGCAGTGGAGAGAGTTCCTAACTTCAATCCCTAAACAACGCTGCCTCTGCCGCTGCCTGTGAGCCTGGAGCGGGCTGTGGTCCCCCCTCTGCTCCGTGCGTCTTTGCCTCTTTTAGCGCACTTTGAGCCCCCTTAAGACGGCCACCTCTCATCAGCCTGTTCCCACACACTCAGTATTTGTCCACTTCATGCAGAGGAGAGATTCATTCAAAGTGCACACGGACACTTTTTTCCAATGGACTTTTCTCCTTCCCTAAACTTTCCAGACATACAAGAGCAGAAGGCCAGAATACAGACGTCATGGATTTGCTTTTATTAGACCTAGGTTATTAATTTATGCATAGGCCTATTTTCAAGACATGGATGAAGTTCTATACAACCTACAGTACTTTTCTAATTGTCCAGTGTTGAGCAATATATGATGCAGCATGATACAGTGAATCATTTAAAAATAAACATATTCAAACACGTACAGTACATTTTGACCTACAATGTGAACCCCGACAAGTAAAGTATACTTGATAAAACCTTGGAAATAAATTGTACATTATCTTCACTTGAATTCCTTGAGTACATCCTTAACTTCAAGGGAACTCAAGTGATTGCAATAAAGTTCAGTTGTGAATTCAACGAGCATATATCAGAAAGTCCCTGCTCCGACTGGCCACCTGCCTTATTCAACACTCCATATGTTCAAAATATCCAAAGTGCGGCTTACTTGAACAGAGAGCTCACTTCAAAGAGCTGAGTGAGCCAAGCTTTAAATAAACTAACAATAAATGAGTAATATTTACGTACTGGGAAAAATCAATTTAAATTAACTTTTATATCTGAAGTAAGAGTTAAGTTAGGGTTTACAGTGTATAATTAAATTCTGACTGGAATATACCAAGTCCACATGAAACTGTAAGTGCATCATTAAAGAGACAGGTATGATTAAGCCGACAGAGGGGACTTGGGGGCTTCTTGTCCAAATGGATTGTAGCCTTCAGTCTTTCGAGAGAAGGCCGAGGTCCGACTGCGAGTCCCAGAGTCCGGCGATGAAAGACTGCTGCCGATCTTCTGTGCAGAGAGCGACACTTGCAGTCTGCGTTTGCCTTCGGCTCCAGTGACCGCGGAGCTTTACCGTGCTCTGATTGGTGCTGTATGTGCATGTTCCTCCTGCAGAAGTGTCTCTGCTGGGCCCGAACCCACAACGCTGCTAACTCTGCGTGATGGAGAAAGATAGTGGTGACTTCTAGAGGTTGAGTTTAGGCTGAAGATGAGTGCGGCAAGCTTTCTGAGTATATCCTGGAGGGTCCAATGCTGGATCTGAAATGATTACGCAGGATCAGTGTAACCGGCCTCAAAGCAGTGTGGGACATCTTTCGCATGGCAGCAATAATGGACTTGGAACAGGCTGGGACAGGCTGGAACAGGCTGGAACAGACTGGAACAGATTGGGCCTTAGCATGGGCTGGTCTCGGAACTGAAGCGAAAACGTAAATTCAGCCTAAAAGACAGAAGAAGTAGCTAACTGCGCCCAAATCCTCCTGCTGTGGCTGCACGGCACAGCAATCAGTCAATATCATTCAGTTCATTCAGCATTAAAGATATACTGTGTAGTTTTTACTCCCATCTAGCATTGAGTTCTTATATTGTAATTTAAGGTCCTGTACAATAGCTTCGTAGAACAATATGTGGTCTTTGACAGTGGTCCCCAACTCCCGCTCAAACTGCTTTTTGTCCCTTATCAACCACTGTATTTCAAGATGGAGCATTGACACAGAGAGTCCTCCAGCTCTCATGGACATTAATAAGTCAAATTCTAAATCTATGACAACAATTCAAAAACATGGTGGAGGTCACATTTGTTATTGGTAAACATATTTTTTCATTTGGAGCAACTGTAAACATTTCACTCAGTGGCTTTAAGCATTTCCTTTCTTGTTGTTCAGGAAGCTTTCACTCAGATTTCCTTCATGCAGCAACCCTCCTCCTCCCCATTACCTCCTTGTCGGATGGACCAGGGCTTCTCCGAGCTCCCCGCACCAGGGTCTAGGCCCTTATTTACATTTCCCCTTCTCCATCATCATGAATGCTCTGCCGGGGTCACATTCTCGTACTGTAATGAACATAATCTTGCTAACATTGCCTTCAGAGCTTGATGTGCTAATTCATGTAGCGTCAGACTAATTACCAACCGTCAATTCTAATAAAACCCCTGTTCCCTCGGTTCGAGTCTCTTCAGATTGAAAAAAAACGGGCAAAGCTTGACAGATGCCAAGAAGGAGAACTGTACATATATGTCTGTAGTTCAGTTTCTTCAAACCCAGCACATCATCACCAACTTAGGGCATAGGGCATAGGGCATAGGGCATAGAGCATAGGGCATAGAGCATAGAGCATAGGGCATAGGGCATAGGGCATAGGGCATAGAGCAGAGAGCATAGAACATAGAACATAGAGCATAGAGCATAGGGCATAGGGCATTGAGCATAGGGCATAGGGCATAGGGCATAGAGCATAGAGCATAGAGCGTAGAGCGTAGGGCATAGGGCATAGAGCGTAGAGCGTAGGGCATAGAGCGTAGAGCATAGGGCAAGAGCGTAGAGCATAGAGCATAGAGCATAGGGCATAGAGCATAGGGCATAGAGATTAGAGCATGGAGCGTAGAGCATAGGGCATAGGGCATAGGGCATAGAGCGTAGAGCATAGGGCGTAGGGCGTAGGGCGTAGAGCGTAGAGCATAAGGCATAGGGCATAGAGCGTAGAGCGTAGGGCATAGAGCGTAGAGCATAGAGCAAGAGCGTAGAGCATAGAGCATAGAGCATAGGGCATAGAGCATAGGGCATAGAGATTAGAGCATGGAGCGTAGAGCATAGGGCATAGAGCGTAGAGCGTAGGGCGTAGAGCGTAGAGCATAAGGCATAGGGCATAGGGCATAGAGCGTAGAGCATAGAGCAAGAGCGTAGAGCATAGAGCATAGAGCATAGGGCATAGAGCATAGGGCATAGAGCGTAGA